TATATATATTCCAGCCGTAGCTAGCAGAGTCCATAACTCGGATGTTAATGGTCATCATCAGCTGGTAATGGACGAACTATTAGATCTAGTCCTTATTATTGACTTCCAGTAATTGTGCTGTTACAACGTTTGAGAAATACAGTGACCGTATGATCCTTCCACTTCATTTACCTGTTACATGAAACAGTTTTAATTTTAAAAAAAGTTTTGTTAAACATTGAACACATAGAAAAAACAAGCGCTAAAGTGCAGTCACGTGCAACTCTCTCTCAATCCCCCCCTCCCCTCCCCGCTTCCTCACTTTTTCTTGCCATAAAGCCCTCTGCATGATCCTTCGGCACACACGTCTTTATTGAAGGCTGTTCGAGTTTATTTAAACGTTTCAAGGTCAGGACGTTTTGACTGTTGCCCAGGTTATGAAATCAGGAATGGCAAGCCGCTCGGCTCTATTCAATATTCTGCGCAATTAACATATCACATGATGTATGGAGTCGAAGTCCCCCCCCCCAAAAAAAAACAAAAAAGAAGAAAAAAAGGAAAAACATATCTTATTCAGTTTTGATTCGCTTGGATCAAGTGTTAAGATTTTGTCTGCATTGCAAATTGTCAAGCAGGAAACCCATGGCGCTGATCAAATATCCGCACGGTTATGGTGAGTTTTAAAACATTACTTTTTAAAAAGTGCTCTTAGTATAAGGTACAATAACTTTATATGGATAGAACTATTACCCCACCCTCTTTTAATGTATCAAACCCTCTAAACAAAAGCCCCTCCCTCCCCCAAATGAAAGAATAAAAAGAGATAAAACATCCAACTAAAAGAAAAAAAAATAAATTAAATGGCCCAAACCAAATAAAAATTTTAAGAATCCAAGAAAAAAAATGAATTAAAAAACAACAATAAACAAACAAACAGCAAAGGAACCAGAAAATCAAAAGAAAAAAAGAAAAAAAACAGCCCAGATAGAAAGTAAGAGAAAAGACCCCCAATCAAGAAACAATCAAACCGCAAATGCTTTCGTGTGCAGTGTTTCGTAATTTTCTCTTTCTCCCTCTAGGTGCAGTCTCCCCCCCCTTCTCTCTCTCTCTCTCTCTCTCTCTCTCTCTCTCTCTCTCTCTCTCTCTCTCTCTCTCTCTCTCTCTCTCTCTCTTTCTGTATATTCAACTGTATAAACCATGTGTGTTGGTAAGATTATCCAAATCAAATATTATCGGTGGTTATATTTTCATTTTATTCTAGTTTTACTAAGTTTAGTCTTAGTAAGTTTTACAGCACTTGCAACACAAATAAATGACATAAGCGTCAATATTTTTATTCTATCCCCTAAACCCTTCTCCGTATGATTTTTCCCCTCAGACTTGATAATCACACCTGCACTGACAATATGGCGATATTCCAAGGACTCTGCTTTGTCCTTGTGTTGGCATCTTTATGTCTATGTACACACGGGTACACGCTGACCTACAAGACAGAGCTACTTGGTCACAAGGTAAAAAGATTCCTATTATAATATACATATTTACATAAAATACGCCACACAGGGAAACAGACGTTACGCGTAATGTGTTTTGTTTCATCAACTCCAGACATTCACAACACACACACAAAACACACACACACGCACGCACATACACACACACACACACACACACACACACACACACACACACACACAC